ATATATATATATATATATATATATATATATATATATATATATATATATATATATATATATATAATGTTGAACACAAATTCTAAACAGTAGGTTACCATCGTGGGGTTAATTATCTCCTTTAATCTCTCATGTTTATATTGTTGGAATTAAATTTGTTAAGATATCATAAAGATATTCATTGTATCAAAAGGTGAAACATATCATGAGGAGGTACATTGTATCACACATTAAATAACTATAGAAGGATAATTGATTATGAGTTCTTGAAAAGGTTTCTTCGAAAAGAATGATTTATATTAAATATAATTAATGTAATATATCTTTGGAGATTATATAAACTCCTTATATTAGTTCATGAAATATATAAACAATTTAAAATTATAAAAAAAATTTAGTGAAACATAAAAAATTTACCTTATTATACTCTTCTTTTGTGTGATAATCCTATCTCTTCTTCCAAATATGAATATTCTCATGACAATTTCATGTTTGAAAGTCCAATACTTTATATCATTCCAATTCACCGAGTGTTGACTTTCTTGAAACACGTACTACATAACTAAAAGTTGACTTGTGGATCTAAGGAACCAATAGCATCCACCTTCCACTCTATTTCGTCTTAATCCCAAGGCTGCTGCATTGCATGTTTGCAGATTCTCCTTGGAGATGCATATGGTTCATCAGAGTGCTGACAATAAGACCGCGGTGGTCGGCTTCCTCTATAAAACTGGCCCTCCTGATCCATTTATCCACAAGGTAATTAGCATAATATCAGTATACATTTATATGCATTAGCCATGATTTCTATCACCAATATATATACACTTGAGGCTATGGTGGCGACTGTGCTCAGTTGGAGAGATCCATCGAGAAGGTCAAGGACAAGCAAGATAAGGAGGAGGAGTTGGGAGCAGTTGACCCAAGCCATGCAAGCAGGAGGATGGGGCAGAGGTACTACAGATACATGGGCTCTCTTACCACTCCCCCTTGTTCTGAAGGAGTCATTTGGACCATATTAAGGAAGGTTGGTCGTATCTATGATCTCATTATGTTGTGGGTGTTGGCATCTTACTGTTGTTATTATTATCATCTATCGAGCAGAATCAATTGAATCAGTGTGTTATTTTCTTGCTCGCAGGTGAAGACTGTGTCAAAGAAACAATTGAGACTATTAAGACGGGCTGTTGATGATGTGAGTAGCATTATACTCCCTTCTTTCATTTTATACATCGTATATTCGTATCGGGCATAATATTATCACTTACTATCAAAATTTGAGGGTTCGAAATCTCATTCGATAATATACTAAAGATAAAGTTAATAGAGGTTTCATTATTAATAGCAAGGTCTTGGGATCAAACATCACCTTTACCATTATCTTATCGAAACCGATATGAGATATTGGGTATGATTATCTTTTTCTTCAAGTAAAGGAAGATAAATTTGATGTTCAAAATTGATTAGATCACATGATAAATTTGATATTTTGATTATCAAGAGCATGTAATCAGCTAATTAAGCTTGCTTTATATTATTTTCCCTCACATGATTCCACTTGCTAAATTTCAGGATTATGAGAACAATTCAAGACCTCGGCAGCCGATTAATGGAAGACTTATTGGATTGTATCGCCCTCCTAAACATGAAAATTAGTCCCTGAATTAATAAACCCATATCATTCTAATGTTTAATGCTACTGACTGTTGATGGTTGTTTAATTTTATGGAAATTAAACAAATATATTTACCAAAGACATGCATGATGGTTTTTAAAGCCTTTTTTTCTTTTGCATATATAAATCCATATTTACCATTAATTTAATAGCTGTTTTATAATATCTTTAATTTAATATGGGATTTGAAGAGAGTAAATGTATGTAGTCTTATCTTTAAATATTTAAAAGGATGATTTGTATGACGATTTATAAAGGCTTGAGAAGTGTATTTGGTCAATATTGATATTAGGTTCATCAAGTTAATATGTTATTTATTTCATTAGATCGAGCTGATTAATACTGCTCTATTAGTCATCGATCGACTTAATTAGGAAATAATTAGCCTAAGTAAATTAAGGCTGATTTAATAGTAGACATAGTGAGTGCTCTAAGTAGAAAAGGACTAATCTAATGATATCAAAACCAACTTAGAATTGTATAGAGTGAGCAACCCAAGTAGGAAAGAGCTACTTATAGATAGGTCGATTATGTGATTTGTTTTTGAGTTATCTTGGTATATAATAAGAACCATTATAATCTGTAATTTAATCTTGTATTGGAAGTGATAGTTTAGTTTCATATTGGCAGTGATAGAATAATTGAGTTGGTATC